ATATATATATATATATATATATGTCCAAAAAACAATACATATTAAAGGCTATGAAAACAAAAAATGAATGTAACCATGTAAGCCTTTGTATTATGTGCAAAAAAGGGTTAAAATCACATTTCATTCTAACATTGTAAAATTGCAATCTAAAAACAAAAATAAGGCTTTTAAAGCAGAAGTTAAATTCACTAAATGAAAAATGAAAAATGAGAACAAAAGCACATAGTTGTGTTAGGCTATTTTGATTACCCCATTACAGTCACTTTACAGTCCGTGCTATCATAAAAATAGACTTACTTATAGGTTTTACATTTATTGTCCAACTACAAATATTTCAGCGAAATGTATATTTTAGTCAGAATTATAGAGTGGGGGAACTATGACGTCACTTTGTATGCGGATCGGCTGTTAACATCGCACTGGTTCCCTCGACAAAAAGCCAATGGGATTTTATCATAGGCTTTTGGATTGGGATTTTACCATAGGCTTTTGGATTATCGCAAAAAAATCAGCTCTGTGTTCAACCATAGTTCATGAAACTTACATGTTTTGTCCTTTGAGATAATCTTCACAAATAAGATCACTTTCATGAATTTTGAAGCCAAAATAAAAGTACCAGAACTTAAAAGCTAAACTTAGGATATAAACGAACTACAGCACCACGGTCGCTCGCCTTCAACGTCACCAGCACCATGCTTCCCACAACTTTTTCAAACTTATTTTTAACACGTTCAGTGAAAAGGATTTACCCTGTATATGAATTTTAATCCACGCTACATGAACCTTTTTATATAAACTGAAAAAATATATAAAATTAGAGCCAAACTAAAACTGAAATGAGACATTAGTAATAACTAGTATAGTGAATAAATGAAATAATCATAACTAAAGGACAAATGAAAGCATGTATTTATGTACATTTCGAAATAAGGTGCATTAAAAGTGAATAAATATTTGATTCATATGAATATTTTAATTTAAAACGTGTCTCCATGTACTATTAAATAAAATTCTAGTGCATTTAATCTATTAAATAACAGCAGAGTGAACAAGTTTTTGGACATGGTAAGATTAAACTTACTTTAGTGAATAAAGTACCATATTTCAGCTATCGTTTTGATAGGATGGGTACACAAAATGTTATTTTATCCTTGCTTCTAGAAAATCCTCAATCTATATGTTTTCCAACAGCTTCATGTGGCCGTAAACATTTCATTTTAACGTGGCTTTAAGCACTATGCATCGTTAAAGTTTCACTTTCACCGTGACTAAGCCAGTAAATGTGGTGTTTACGTGGAATAATCATAGGTGTTTACCTTATGGTACGAACCCAGAGTCTCCGTATCAGTAAGCGATAAAATGAGCATCTTCCATCCGAAGACTTGTGTTGTATTTCGGGGCAAAAAAAAAAACCTTGTCGGACAACAATATAAAATGCGAGACATTTTATGGTTATTCTACAATTAATTGTACTATAAATGATACTACAATTGGAATATACTGTAAATTGATAAACTGTTCGGCATGATGACGTTTAATGTCTCGACAGCGCATGTAGTCCCATTTAGCAACCGTCTTTTTTAAGAAACGTAACAGTTTGAAAATGAGTGGGGTGTAAGAAAGTATCGAATAAAACGAATAAAACGTGAAAGTATCTTGAGCGTGTGTGAACCAAACTCCCATTCAAAAAACCCATTGACTCTGGGATGATGGAACCGGGAATGCTAAAATGCTAACTTGCTTCGGGGTTTTTGCCTACAAAGTGACATCATAGTTCCACCACTCTATTGCGCTCCTATTTAATTGTCTGTTTGGCGCACATGCGCGCGGCGGCACTCATTCACTGAAGTCTGTGAAGTTTAGCGGAGAATCCCAAAGCAGAACGCTCCTGCACTTCTGACAGAAAAATGGAAATGTTTCCATGGCTTTCTAACATTTACAGATGGAGAATATACCTGTGAAATGTAAGTTAAGCATTCAGGAAGACAGCACATCTCAAACACATTAAACAGCGCGAGTGTCTCTGTCAGCGGCACACGCAGTCTTTCAGTCTGAGCATCTGACGGGCCGAGCTGCTTAAACTAATATGCGAAACGAAACTATAAACTGTCTTATCAGTTTTTAAAGGCCTTAATATGAAGCTTGTCACATGTTTAGAACAAATTGGATTATGCGCTTTCTCTGCAGCAGCTCAGTCTGTGTCCTCCGCTATATGTTCAGACGCACACGTATCAAACTACTGTATATCGATATAAACGGTATTGCCACATATCGAATCGCTTATAAAGAAAATATCGATATATCATACAAACTCGATATACCGGCCAGCCCTACTACAGATGCATAGAAGATGACCCGTTTAAGTGATTTATTGGTGGCTTAAGTGTTTTCAGTGCATGTGCTTTGTCTCTACAGCTATGTGAAGGATATCAGGTGCCGGCTTTCTCCGCTTGTCTGGAATGGGCACAGGATCATTGGGTCGTCTCCGGAGCTTCCGGGTCATAATAGGTTTCACCTCCATGGAATCTAAAATGAATAAAAAGACAGCCAACAAGGTTAAGGGTTTTAAAGGAATATCTTGCACAAAAAAAGAACTCAATCTTTTTCATACAATTGCAATGAATGGCAACTGAAGCTTTCAACCTTGAAAAATGATGAAAAAACTCCATAAAAGTATAATTAAAGTCTTCTGAAGTCATACAATAGCTTTGTGTGATCAAAATGTAAGTATTTTTTCACTGATAACTGTCCTCTCCTGTAAGTTAACCACATTGACTGGATCATTAAATCTGTGTATTGAATTGTGAACCAGTTCAATCTGATCTGTTAACAAATCATTCAGTTTGCTTTTGTAAATTAGAATAACGATTCATTAACAAAAGAATGGTGCATTTATGAATCGGACATTGCTACTTCTCTCGTGAACTCAAGAGTGTTTTATCACTTTTATTATATTTTTGTGATGCTTTTGTGTCTTTTTAAAGCTTGAAAGCCCCTCAGTCTTTGTTCACTGCATGGAAAAAACCTTCTCTTATTGTGTTCTGCAGAAGAAAAAAAAAACTAATTCAGGTGTGGAATGGCATGAGGGAGTAAATGATGACAGAATTTCATTTTTGGGTGAACTATTGCTTCAAGATTTTTTTTCTTTTAACACAATAGAGAATAGCTATACGTTCAGCTATAGGAACAGGATCTTATTCTCGACAACAGCAATACTAACAATGGCTTGCACAAAAACTCTCTCAGGTTGCATTTTTTTATCCAATCTCTCTTTTTCACTTTCTTACCCCCTGTCAGCTCCATTGTTAATTTCTCATTCTCGATCATCTTCTTCTTCTCTTCCAGCTCTGCAATAAGATTTTCCTTCAGTTCCACTTTCTTATCGTCAAATTCTTTCACCACTGCTTTTTTCTCTTTGATGTAGTTCCTCTCCACCTGCTCTGTCTACAAGACATTTAACATAAATTAACCTGTCATAGCTGTTTCTTTCTGCAGTAATAAATCCACAGATACATAAAATGTATAACTTGCAGCTTACCTCAAGTTGTAGAAAGAGGTCTGAAAAGATAAAGAGATTGGAGAGAGACAGAAAATGAGCAAGCACAAATAAGAGATAAGCAGCATTAAAGGGGTCATATGACGTTGCTAAAAATAACATTACGTTATGTATTTGCTGTAATGCAATGTGTTTATGCGGTTTAAGGTAAAAAAAAACACATTATTTTCCACATAATGTACATTATTTTTGCTCCTCTATGCCCCGCCTTTCTGAAACGCGTCGATTTTTACAAAGCTCGTCGTTCTGAAAAGCGAGGCGTGCTCTGATTGGCCAGCTATCCAGTGCGTTGTGATTGGCCGAATACCTCAAGCGTGTGATGGAAATGTAATGCCCTTACCATATTGTGATGCCCTGTGTCCCGGTGCGACAAGGCAAAAACAATAAAACCCATTACAAACGAGGCATTTGTTGCATCCAGTGGGGACATAATTACTGATTGTAATGACTTATACTGTCTTTTTACGTGTTGCGTTGCACATCGCACTGCGTAAACATAAAACCATGTCTGGAGAAACGACAAACAAGTGCTACTCTATACTGCTCAAAACTCGCGTTTGAATCATCAGTGGCAAATTCTTTAAATATAAAAAACATACTTACAGGCTGTGAGTCAGATGCGCCAGACTGTCCTTGCAAAGTTGGAACTGCCCCACTTTATAGAAACAGACACCGGCATTGTAGGCTACTCTCCCAGGAAACAGTCCTCATCCTCCGCAAAATGTGCTGCACACATCTGAATATTTGGGTTGAACTGTTCTGGAACAGTGTTGTTAATACAACTTAACCACTGATTTCTAGTTGTGTCCTCTTTTGGAAGGCCAAACAAAGCAGTTTCACTTTCACAATGAAACACACAGCGTCACACACGGCGGGCTAGATTGAGGAACGGCCGGCGGGCTAGAGTGAGCAGTGGCCGGCGCACTTGAGAACGGCGCGCACGGCGGATTCGACGAAGGAGCGGCCGGTGGGCTTGAGGCAACCACATGTGATGACCCCGGGCTGGACTCAGCTTCGTACACGGTGAAAGCTGATCCGGCGATCCACAGCGCGAAGTTGATGTATTTCCTCAGCGACCACCACGGATCAGCTCTAGGCATGACGAAGCGGATATCGTCCTCTTTTGGAATACCAAACTAAGTAGTTTTGTTTTTACAACGAAACACAGCGTCTCCATGACATGGCGGCAGCAACAATACTACAGCGAGAATAAAAGTTACACCTTCTTTCTTTGAGTGAACATTTGGGCGGCGTTTTGCAAATCTTCCCACATCGTGACGTAGACATGTGTGGTTGACTCTTAACTTTTATAAAGAATATCTCTTTGGATTTGAGACTTTAGTCTTTGCAACTTTACAGATCTTCTTTATGCACCAAGAGCTTGTAACACTCCAAAGAGAAAGGAAAAATTGAAATCGCATCATATGACCC